TTCTACTCCCCAATTCCCCCTCAAAAATTAAATGATAAGTTTCGCCACAGAACACAGAATAACTGCCTGATAGTTCCTTAGGGTAAACTCCTCTACTCAATCTAAGATTCAAGCAGTGTTGCTAACTTTTTCTTTAAATGCCTTAGTCAAGGTTTCCTTCAGAGTTAGAAAAAGTCTAACTCCTTGCATATTGACTATATACAATCTAGATAAGCCAAGCCTTCTGTCATCTGTCCATCATTCAGAGGTTTCTTTCACGTATGCAGCTGAATAATAATCTCAGAAACAAATTAATATTGAAATAAGTAAAGACCCAGATGTCTCAGGTTGCTAAATCCACTTAATTTCCTTTCTTTTCCTATATTCACACCTAAGTTTTAAGCCATAGGTGAAAATGAAAGCCTGCCCTCTCCCAGTCTCTCTCTGGTGTTACAAAGAAATGTTAATCAAGCTTCCCAAGGAATGAGTTCTTGTAGGAAATAGTGATTCTAAGTTTTATAATTAGTCCCCATACCTGACTGCTAGAATATCTGAGGAAGATTGAAGTGTTCTGGGGCCCCCAGGCCATAACCCTCAGGAAGCTGGCTGTACTCTCAGGTGTTCTCCACCAAAGAATGAGGGGATGGGGTTTCTATCGGGAGCCAGGTCACCACCCCCCGAAATTGGAACATACCTCATAGCATATCCTACTTACATGAAAGACAAGTTCTTTTTTATCTTTTTTTATTGTTTTTAATTTTTTTTAAAAATGCAATGGCTTTGGAAATACAAATAGTTTTGGGGTTGGGCTTTAAGAGAACCCACCTGTGCACATTGTACACAACAGGTGATCTTTTTTTGTCCCTCTACCCCTTCCCCTCCCCCTTCTGAGTCTCCAGTGTCCATTGTACCATTCTCTCTGCCTTTGAAGATCCTTAGTTTAGCTGCACTCCCCCCCCCCCCTTTTTTTTGAGTCCGAGTCTCACTCTGTTGCCCAGGCTGGAGTCCAGTGGCATTCTCATGGCCACTGCAGCGTCGACCTGCTGAGCTCAGGCGATCCTACCGCCTCAGCCTTCCAAGCAACTGGAACCACAGGCATGTGCCACCACGCCCAGCTAATTTTTTTTGAGTTATTGTAGAAAAGAGGTGGGCTCCTCAAGTTGCCCAGGCTGGTCTCGATCCTCTCACCTCCTCCTCCTAAATGCTGGGATTACAGGTATGAGCCACCATGCCCAGCAGCTCCCGCTTATAAGTGAGAATTATAAGTGAGAACATGCAGTGTTTGATTTTCTGTGTCTATCTCTAAGAATCACTTTTTATCTGAGGAAAGGGAGTTGGGAGTAGGGTGAGATACTAGGTGGCTAAGGTGCAGCTTGTCCCTTGGAATGGAAGTCACCCAGGTTAATGGGTAAGGTCACTCAGAGCCATCTCTTGCACAAGTCTCACTGTCACACTTTTTTTTTCAAACCTATCCCAGTGTTTCCTGGAGAGCGGGCTGGGCACAGGAGGTCAAGAGAAAAGAGGGAAGAGCATAGTGGGAGGGGGAGTAGAAATGAGAGATGGTGATGAGAGGGAGCAAATCCTCCTCAAGCCTCTTGCCCCTCTTCTCTCCATTTTGAATTCTCCTCAAGCTCTGAAGCTGAGTGTCATAAGAGCAACAGAAAGAAGCTTTGTTTTCATGGCACACAATATTAAGCACAAGTCAGAATGTTTCATTTGAGCATTTTATCTGAATAATAATATCTCTCTCAAAATACAAGTCCTGACCCAGCTTGGAAAGAGGAGCACCTTCTAATGGGTCAAAGGGATAAGCTTTGTGATTGACACCACCCGTGGGACACCCCAGCCCAGTCCCTCACCTTGCTATCACCTGAGGAAATTAGAATTTTTTTTTTTTACTCAGAGTCTCACTCTGTCACCCAGGCTGTAGTGTAGTGGCATGTTCACGGCCGTCCCAGCGTCAACCTGCTGAGCTCAGGCAGTCCTTCTGCCTCAGCTTTCCAAGTAGCCGGAACTACAGGTGCACACTACCACACCCAGCTAATATTTTAATATATTATAGAGACGAGGTCTCACCAAGTTGTCCAGACTAGTCTCGAATCCTCTTGCCTCAGCCTCCCAAAGTGCTGGGATTTCAGGCTTGAGTCACTGCACCTGGTCAATTTTCTTTTTTTAATTTGGAGTCTCACTCTGTCACTTAGTGTGGAGTGCAGGTGCACATTCATAGCCACTGTAGCCTTGACCTGCTGGGCTCAGGTAATCTTTCCACCTCAGCATCCCGAGTAGCTGGAACTACAGGCATGCACCACCATACCTGGCTAATTTTTTGATTTATTACAAAGATGAGGTCTTGCCAAGTTGCCCAGGCTGCTCTCAAATCCCTGGGCTCAGGCAATCCTCTTGCCTCTGCCTCTCAAAGTGCTGGGATTACAGACGTGAGCCATCGCACCTGGCCAGAAGTTTTAATTGTAAGAGGCTTGTTAGAGGCCTTGTGAAAACACTGTCTGCTGGGATCCACCTCAAGGGCTTCTGATTTGCATTTCTACCAAATTCGCAGGTGACACTGATGTTGCTGGTCTGGAAACCCATACTTGAGAACCACTGTTCCAGCACAAAGTAGGCATTTCACAAACATCTGTTGTTCATTTTCATAACGGGAGGTCAGGGATGAGTGCTGTGGAACAGAAGAAAACGGGAATCATTTCATTCTGGAACTCTGAGTTTATATGTATTTGTTGTACTTTTCCTCACTCTGTTTCCCACACTGTTAATGCAATTTTAGCACTGTGAATGCAATTTTTAGCAATTTTCAGGAAACATCTGTTGCTTTCCTCCTTGAAAGACAAGATCATTTAAAAATACATAAAATGACATTGTGGAAGAAAGTAGTGTATCCTACATCTGACAGCCTTGCCTCTTACATAATTGATAATTGGCATTATAGGGATTATGCACATTGACTTTTGATTTTCTTTCAAATCTTTATGAAGATTTACCAATTAAAGAGATCCAAGTGATTTGCCAAGATTTACACAGGAATTTTTTTTTTTTTTTTGGCACAAACATTTCTAACCTGAAGAAATATATTCTGATTCAAGTGATCATTCTTTATCATGAGCCAGAAAAAGCCTAGAGTCTACAGAGTGAAGTTTAGGATTGCTGCTGTTTATCTCACGTCATTTCTTCAGCTTCAAGCCTGAACACAAGTAAGGTAAAAGGAAATGGGTTGTTTAAAACCTGCATTTGCAGCTGATTCTCCATTCTCCAAACGCCCTCATCTTAGACATACACACTTTGGGAAAAACACAGAGCGTGAAGAGCCAACGCTTATTTAATTAAACTGAATAATGCCTATTCATCAATATATTGATGACTGGAATTACTGAAGATTTGCAAGGACCACTGCAACGACAATATACTTTCTTGCAATTATACTTCTCTGTGCTCAAAAAGCTTTATAGACTTTCAAAATGAATTTCTGTAACAGCCCTCTGAGGTAAATGAGGAACAGGTGTAATTATCGCCTCTTCACAGATGGCTAGGCAGACACAAAGGAATGGAATGAATCAACCAGGAAGGAAATTAAGCTACGGGGCCCAAATAATCCTAATACAGCCTGCCTCTCCTACCAGTGCTGTTTTCCTTTGATCACGAGAATCTGTGTTGTGGGAAACTCTGAAGGCATTGTGTGTGTGTGTGTGTGTGTGTGTGTGTGTGTTTCATTCTTTAATGATGTAAGAAACAAAACTCTGTAGGGACATCTAAAGAGGGGAAATGACGAGACTGGTAAACACGGGCCAGCAGTAGTGCAAGTGTATAAAAAAAACAAAATTTAATTTTTCTGGATAATATGATCGAGGCCTTTCAATGCTAAATTTCATCAGCAGATGATCAGCCAGCAACATGCTGTTATTGACATAAAAGCAGGTGGGGGGGAATAGTAAACTAATAGACATTATTTCATGGCTACACGCCTCTAAAAGTACTCAACATTTGGGAAGCACTAAGCAACCAGGAATTTTTTCAAATGACCATGGTTTTCAGTGCAACAGGCTTAGAAATATGCCATCTCTGGCCAAAAGCCAGATTGCTGACACAAAACAGCAAAGCTACAGACCCTGTGGCTAGGAGAATAATAACAACACCACTATTCCTCTCTCTCACTGTGCTATATTTTGTTAAGAAGAGATTCATACCACAAAAACTGGGTCCGTTAGGAATGATAAGTTTTACAAGTCTCACCTTTCAAGCAATGGACATTATGACAGGATCATAAGCCAGAAGGCCTGCAAGTCTCCAAATTGCCAGCTTCCACGAGGTCCCTCCAACACTCAGTGCCTGAGGTCATCTGGCAGCAAAAGCCCATCCCTGGCTCACCAGAGACCTTGTTTTTCCTGCTTCTCACATAAAGCAACCTCCTCAAGGCCAGTGACCTCCTGAAATCTCTCCTTCCCAGACACCTCCATCCCAGAGCTCCTGAGACTGCAGAAAATGAAAGCCCTCAGCAGGTAGAGAGGCCTCAGAGTGCAAAGATTTGGAGTTTTCCTTTCTGAAAGTTCTATTCTTTACCAAGTGGAGGACATTTTGAAGTACAGAAGTCAAGAATGGAGCAGAAATCAACACAATTCTCAAAAGAGGCAGAGATTATAAAATGGGTAGACTGCTATTCAAAAAGGTATTTTTGCTATCAAAAAAGGTATTTTTTTAACATTCAAAAATAAGAATAAAGGAAGGACCCTATCTATGCAAGTCCTTCTAATATGCTAAGGTTGAGAAGGTAGTATATACAACTACCTATGAAGACTGATTATATGAAGATATAAATATGGATTTATAGGGAGGAGAGTTTCTGTTCTAATCAAATAAAATGTACAGCCTAACCAGGTATATCTGACATTATACTTAATTGTTTGTGTTACATGATAATAAGATACAACAGTAAGGAGATCACTGAAATGACTGTAGATTCAGGAAGGACATTGGTGTTGAGGTTGACATACCAGTCAAGGACAATAACTACCATGACTTGTGGTACTTTACCAAAACCTCAGATGTGTGGCCTTCTGGCCAAATGCCTGCAGTTTCATATTGTTGGAGCATTCATTGTATCCCTGGGGGTTGCAGCTTTCTATAAGTTTGCTGTGGCTGAACCAAGAAAGATGGCATATGCAGATTTCTACAGAAATTATGATTCCATGAAAGATTTTGAGGAGTTGGGGAAGGCTGGTATCTTTCAGAGTGCAAAGTGATTTGGGAATATAAAGAATTTCTTGTAAATTGAAGTAAATGGAAGTTTGTCACGAGCTGTCTTCCTGAACTATGAAGCATACTAAGTAGTAGTTTTTCTTGATAAATAATTAACAAATAAAAAAAGAAATGACTGTAATTAGTATTATTTTACACATCCTTAGGGTTTTTTCCTAAAGAGATTTTTGGTAACTTTGATAGTTCAGAATCTTTTGCCATCATCAATATTATCAGTCCATCAATCAATATTATCAGTTTTCCATCATACCATTTTTTTGGTAATCAGTATTATCACAAATATATTTATATTAGGGGGAAAACAGTGCTGGACCAAATTCCTGTTCACCCAGAGAGTTATTTTCTCCTTCTCCCTAACCCTAACTTATTTCCAAACGCCTCACATGTCTTTACCCTATCAGCTCTTACTGTGTACACTGGCAGTTTTTTTTTTTTAAGTCAGAGTCTCACTCTACCACCCAGGTTGGAGTGCAGTGGCACACTCATGGCCACCACAGCCTAGACCAGTTGGGCTCAGGCGACCATTCCACCTCAGCCTTCCAAGTAGCTGGAACTACAGGCATGCACCATCACACCCAGCTAATTTCTTAATTTATTGTAGAGACGAGGTTTCACCATGTTGCCCAGGCTGGTCTCAAACCCACTGGCTCAGACAATCCTGTCGCTTCCACTCCCAAAGTGCCCAGTTGGCAGTTTTTCCTAAGCTTGTCAGGTCAAAAGGATCACCCAAAGAAACAAACTGACCTTCAGGGCCACTGAATCAACTGAATTAGAATCTCCAAGGGGAAGAGATTAAGAAATCTGTGTATTTAACAAGCATCACAGGTAATTCTTATTAGGTGAGTTTGTACTCTAATGTCCATATTTTCCAAGTCAAAAATCAGAGCTCAGGCCAGGCGCGGTGGTTCACGCCTATAATCCCAGCAATTTGGGAGGCCGAAGTGAGAGGATTGCCTGAGCCGACAGTTTCGAGATCAGCCTGGGCAACTTGGCAAGACCTCATCTCTAAAATAAATCAAAAAATTAGCCAGGCATTGTGGATCGTGCCTGTAGTCTCAGCTACTTGGAAGGCTGAGGGAGAAGGATCATCTGAGCCCAGCAGGTCAAGGATGCAATGGCCGGGAGTGTGCCACTGCCCTCCATCCTGGGCAACAGAGTTAACACTCCAACTCAAAAAAAAAAAAAATTAAAAATCAGAGCTTATAGATTTTTTTTTTACACTGGCAGGTGAATTTATTTACAACAAATATCTTAAGATAGACTTACCTCAAATCCTTTTATAAATGAGATGGAATACAAATCAATGGTTTAAAGATGGTAGATATTAAATTGCATTTTGACATATTTTATACGATTCCTTTTCTTTTCCCCCGTCAAAAGAGGATGGCTCTACCAGAAATGACAACCATCCTGAACATAGAACCCTTTCTGGCCAGGAATTCTGGAACAGTAGAGCTACTGCTCAGAACTCCCCAGGTGAACTGGGTACTGGAGATGAGGCAGTCAATCCTGAACAAGGGGGTTGGGAGCTGGGAATATGATGGGAATAGTGGCATGGAAAAAGGAGCAGAGACTGAAAACAGATTGGATCCTAGGTATCTGGGAGGGAAGGGGATAATGCATGTTAAAGCTAAGGAGGGTGCTAGGACTATGTTGGTGGTGGCGATCACCACTGGGTATTCACTGTCTTCCACAGACTACACCATCTGCAGCTGTGGCTACTGTTATCTATCCAGTACACCTTTTGGATACAGAATAAGGTCAGAGAAGACAAACACTGTGTCTTCAATTTCTTAAGTTCCATAAAAACAACCCAAGCAGATTTGCCTTCAGAGCCACCCAAGACAGAAGAAACTTTCGACAGCAAGATGGATTATGCAAAAAAAATACACATTTCCCTAGGAATAAAGGAAGAAAAGATTATTATGCACTTGTTCTGTGTTGAGTCTTGTCGAAGGCACTCTGACGTGTGGGTCTAATATTTATTTCATAAATTCTTCTTTTTTTTCTTGAATCAGAGTCTTACTCTGCTACCCAGACTGGAGTGCAGTGACATGCTCATGGCCACCACATTCTCGACCTGCTGGGCTCAGGGGATCCTTCTGCCTCAGCCATCCAAGCGGCTGGAACCACAGGTGCACACCACCACACCCAGCTAATTATGTTTTGATTTTTTTTTTTTAGAAAGCAGGATTTATTGAGAGGACAGAGAAGCTCCCACAGTGGGTGGGGACCTGAAGGGGTTGCCCATGTTTTGATTTATTGTAGAGATGGGGTCTTACCATATTACCCAGGCTGGTCTTAAACCCATGGCCTCAGGCAATCCTCTCCAAAGTGCTGGAATTACAGGCATGAGCCACTACGCCTGGCCATAAATCTTTCTATCAGTTGCTAAACACTGAGCTAGGTACTAAGAATACAGAACAAAAAAAGGGATGGTCTGTGCCTTCATTAAACTTACAGTCTAGGAAAGACAGATTAAAATAAACCCATAAGGCCAGGCTTGGTGGCTCAGCCTGTAATCCCAGCACTTTGGGAGGCCAAAGTGAGTGAATTGCCTGAGTCCACGGGTTCAAGACCAGCCCTGGCAAGACCTGATCTCTACAATAAATCAAAAATTAGCCAGCATGGTAGCATGCGCCTGTAGTTCCAGCTACTTGGAAGGCTGAGGCAGAAGGATCGCCGGAGTCCAGCTGGTCGAAGCTGGCGTGGCAGTGAGTGTGCCACTGCACTACAGCCTGGGTGACAGAGTGAGACTCCAACAAAAAAAAATAAATGAATGAATGAATTGTATGGTGAGTTTAAACCATAACCCGGGTATGTTGGAATACCCCTTTATCTTTCTGATGGAATTAGACTTAACTCTTGTGTCCTCTTTCTGCTGATGAAAGGAAAATTAACTGTCTTCCTATTTGAAGATCACTCAGTCTATTTCCATATACAATTAGTAAATACTCTTTCAAAGTTCTCCCCTTCCTTCTTCTGTTTCCCTTTTTCATGAGGATGACTCAGTTTCTCCCCAGAAAGTCCTAACTATCCTCCAGCATTAGGAGACAAGGGGCTTCATGGGGGTCCACATGGTCCTCAGTGGGTCGCATGCATGCATCAGCCAGAGTACAGTTTATCACAAGTGGTATTTGGCATCCAAAGCTTGGTGTCCCTGGTCCCTGCCATTGTTTCCAGCCTCAAGGGCCACACTTTCAGTCTTTCTTGGTTCCATGGACATCTTGACATTTTGCCACCACCCTCACACCCCTCAGAGGCTCAAGACCTCTTGGCAATCTCCCCCACACCATCCTGGAATGTGCAGGGTCCTATGATGCTGTCTAGGCCTGTCTGCCAGGATTCCCTCAGTCCTTACTGCTCAGACGCCCCATTGACTAGGTGTTATTGCAGACTTGAGTCTGGGTGTTATAATTACCTCCCATGGTTTTGCCCCAGTGGGAGACAGGGTGCCAGGGGCTTCTCTTCAGCATCTCCTGACATCTATATTCCACTCTCACCTCCTCTAAATCTCTTTCTTCTTCCTGTCTATTTAAGCCACTGACCACAGTGTTTATACAATAAGCCTGTGAAATGAAGAAATAGCTCCAACCACAGTTAAGTGAGGACCAAGTAAAGAATGGCATACAAACGGGATGACCCTTGGCCAGCAACTTAAGTTCTCCCTAGGAGAGAAGAGAAGGGAAGGAAGAATTAAATTTGATTTGGTGCTTAGTTACAAGAGAAAAAAGTTCCCATCTGGAAGTGATCATCACAAATTTTCAAATTTATACTTTCCTAATTCCCTGCTGGAAACTATGGCTTGTATTGTTACACAGAATTCAGTCATGCACAAAGTTTCATTCATGCAAGCCTGACTTTTGTGACCATAAAATGTCAAAGTCTGCTACAGTTACAGATTCTGACAATTACTGTGAAGGAAAAGTAGAGGATGTTTTAAAGAGATACAGAAAGAGGACCAATTTAGATTAGAGAGCAGGAAAGGACTGAGGCACAAAAGACTAACCTTCTCAACCTGATAGCAGCTGCTGATACTGACAAACACACCTATCCCACTCCCAGAGTGCTTGCAGGCCTCTGGGGGTCCACCGGAAGTACTGGTTTCCCTGACTTCAAGCTATTATCAATGTCTAAAATAATATCAGCAAAATTAGGTGAAACCTGATAATAATATGCATGAACATTTTCTTTAATAGTTTTCTTTTGCTTTTTTTGAGGGGGGGGGATATCTTACCCTGTTGCCCAGGCTGGAGGTCAGTGGAATAACCACGGCTTACCACAGCCTCAAACCACCACACCCAGCTATGTTGCCTAGGCTGGTCCCGAACTCCTGAGCTCAAGCAATGCTCTCACCTCAGCCTCCCAAAGAACTGAGATTACAGATGTGAGCCTTGTAACTAACTACACCATGGGCATGAAAGCAGCAAAATTCAGACGGTAGGGAATGCTACAGTCCAAAAGTCTGTTTAGGAGACTAGAGAGAGAAGTAACATATAGATGTAAGAGAAATAAACAGTGTGTAGGATTGGAGTCTGATACTTTAAAATGTAACATAAAAGGTCGATGCTTTTAAAACAATGTAAACATTGAATACTGATTGCCTATTTGATTTTAAGGACTTTGCATTACAATTTTAGACATGATCATTGATCTTTTGGTTATGTCTTTTTAAAAGTTTTTTGTCTTCTAGATAAGTATACTTCAAATATGTAAATATGAAATGATAAGCGATATCTGTAAATTGCTTCAAAATAATACAAACAGGGAAGCGGATGAGGGGAGAGATGAGGTAGGATTGACCTCAAGTTGATAGACATTGGGGCTGAGTACATTAGGGATTCATTGTACTATTCTGTCTACTTTTGAGTGTACTTAAAATTCTCCATAATTTGGCCAGGCACAGTGGCTCACGCCTGTAATCCCAGCACTTTGAGAGGCCAAGGTGAGAGGATTTCAAGAACAGCCTGAGTAACGTAGTAAGACCTCGTCTCTACAAAA